CTTGTTTCTCTTCATCTACATTTTGACTCAAGGCTTTTTATCGACTGACAGGTGGCTGCTGCCTGGCTTCTTGCCCCAGCATCTCTCTCTGTCTCTCTGTTTCTCTCTGTCTCTCTCTCTCTCTTGTTCTCTTCTCTTTTTCTCTCTTGTTTCTCCCTGAGCCTAGATTTTTCCTTCTATTTATTCTCTCTGCCTGTTAGTCCCACCTATCCTTTCTCCTGCCTAGCTGTTATCTGCTCAATTTTTTAATTAGACCAATCACATGCCAGGTGAAACAAATGCAACACAACTTTACATAATTAAACACACATCTTTACATGTTAAACAAATGCAACACGCCTTTACACAGTTAAAGTAATAGTCCACAGCAGAAACAAATGTAACACATCTTTACATAGTTAAAATAATATTGCACAGCAGGGCAACTTCAAGGCGACCTCCCTGGAGATGTTCCAATTGGCTCCTCTCCCATGCTTTTCACTGGGGCTTCTTGACTTCCGGCTCTTTGAATGTTTCCAGTGCAGAGAAAGGTCTCTACCAGGAAGGGACCTGGCACAAGTGTCCAAGCAGAAGAACTGTCAAGGAGGCATGGCCTTTCATGGCCTAAGCTGACATGAGAAGAAGCTGACGTCTATGGGAGGACAATCCAGGAGCAGAAATTCTTTTAATGATTATGCACATATACACACACATATCTGCATTATTGCATGCATTGTATTTGCATGTGTGTAATTTATTGTGCATATTTGTATGTGTCTATGTGCTTTATACTTGTATACCTTTGTCTACATGTATACATCTGTGTACCTGTGTGCATGTGCACCCACACATGCCTATATATGTTATGTGTATGTTTCTGTGTGCACACCTGTGCATATATGTGTCCATGCGTGCATTTGTGTACATGGGTGGTTATAAGTGCATGTGTGTGTGCACATATGCATGTACACATGGTAGTATGTGACTTTGAATAATTAAAACTTTTAGGCTAGAAGGCAGAATCTGACTTAGCTAGAACACATCTCACCAAAATATGACTGGTAAGCTTTTCATTTCCTGCCTTAACCAGTTTCACTGAGTTTCCAGTCATGGCTTCAAGTCAGCTCAAGTAGCACAGCATTCACACCCCTGGTAAACCTGTAAAGTAGCAAATTTCTTCCCTCACAGTTCTGAAGGACAAAAGTCCAAAGCCAGCTCTCTGGGCTAGTTAGTCCAGGTGTCTGCAGAGCCAGACTCCCCCGAGGCTTGGGCAGAGTCCTCCCTGCCCAGCGCTACACTCCTGCCTCCATCCTCAAGGTGTGCTGTCTTACTTTGGAGATCATCCTGCTTTCTCCTCTACAGAATGCCCCCTGCTCCCTCTCACAGGGACATTTGCAGTTACATGTGCGTTCCAGTGGCTAATCTAAGATAGCTTCCTTCTATCCAGATTAACTGACTCATGCCTGCCAAGTCCTTGGAAGGCAACGTTGACCTCTTCAGAGGGCTAAAAGTGGACAGCAGGCAGTATGGTAGCCTCACCAGCACCTACCTCCCCTCCTGGGGGCAGATGCTCCAGCTGACCAATCCCCTCCCCAGCTTAGAAGGCCTTTCTCAGTGACTCTACCCCACCTGGATGCCACATCAGTGGGTAATATTGAAGAGGGCTTCTAAGAGAGAGGCTTCTCAGATGTAGCTGCTCAGAATTGAGGTGCCAAGAGCCAGGACCCTGGAGCCCTGAGCCAGGAGCTCTAGTTCTTATTGGTCTATGCTAATGTTTCTATTACATCTACAACCTGGCTGCTAGGTTATCAGACAGGGGGGGTTGAACAGTTCTGGGCTGCCAGCCCCAAGACTGGACCAGGGATGAACATGCACTAGTTACTCATGTGTGTGAACATGCACACACACACACACACACACACACACACACACACACACACACAGCAGGAGGTATCACTGTATTTGAGATTGGCCAACATTCCCCAACCATGTGGCATAAACGAGACACAAATTTGTTATAGTAAAAACCCTGTCTCTAAATGTGCTGAGTACATCCTAATTTGGATGCTAGACTAGTAAAAAATAATGTCCAGGGGAAAACTGGCGAAATCAGAATAAAGTCCAGAGTCTCGTTACTAGTCTCACGCCAGTGCAAATGTCTCAGTTTGACAAATATATTGCTGTTACATAAGACTTCTGAATGTGCTCTTTCTTCCTTTGTGATTTTTCTGTAAATCTAAAATTCTTCCAAAATTAAAAAGTTCGATCCCAGAGTTTTAAAAATCCAGTATAGTATGTCACTATTGAAGTTAAATTGCTCACTTCAACTTCCTTCTCTTTAGGACAGAACTTATGTGCAATCAGCTATGCAAACTGGATGTGCACAGATCATAGAACTCGGCTATGGATGGAAGTACTTCCGGACCCCAGAATCCTCCCTCTTCCTCTCTTCCAGGCGACAGCTCCGCCAACAGAAGCAGCCAGTATCCTGATTGACGTATTATAGATTCGTTTTTTCGCCTGTCCCTTTCATGAGCAAAGTCTGCGCTCTTGTCAAGGATGAGCTATGCTGACTTCCTTCCCTCAGCACATGATGAGTGTTACCCATGCCACAGTGTGAAACAGCAGCGCATCCCTTGATGTCCAATCCATTCTCCGTTGACACCTGGATTACTTCCAGGCCGACTGTTTCTCTGCGACTGCTGTAGACAAACCCCCGCCGTCTTCGGTGGATCCAGGCCCTCATTTCTCTGATTCTGGTTTCAGAGTTGGGATTACTGAATCACAGATTGAAATGTGTAGCCTTAGGGGCTCTGATCAATTTCCCAAGTGGTTGCACCAGTAACTCGTCTTCTGAAAGTTTACAGGTGCTTCAGTGACTCTAGATCCCTGCCAGTCCTTGCAGCTGCTGCCTTTCAAAACATTTTTTAAATGTTTATTTATTTGTTTATTATGTATACAATATTCTGTCTGTGTGTATGTCTGCAGGCCAGAAAAGGGCCACCAGACCTCATTACAGTTGGTTGTGAGCCACCATGTGGTTGCTGGGAGTTGAGCTCAGGACCTTTGGAAGAGCAGGCAATGCCCTTAACCGCTGTGCCATCTCTCCAGCCCCAACTTTTAAAATCTTTATAATTCTAATGGATAAGTTTTAATCTGCATTACCCCCAGGACTAAGGTTGTGATGAGCATTCCCCGTGTGTTTAGCAACCTTTAGAATATCCTCTTTGGGAAGGGGCTTGTCTGGGACGTTTGCCCATTTTTATTCGGCTGGTTGATTTTCCTATTAGTTTCTGTGTTATGGAACAGGGATCCTTTGTCAGATATGTGTGTCCTAAATATCTCCTCCCTCTCGGCAGCTTTTGTTGTCACCCACAATGGCCTCCTCTGGTGAATGGATCAGTTCAGCTTTAACCAGATTTCCTTCAAACTAGAGAACTTTGGCATTTGTATTTAAAACTAGTAGGAATTCTAGGAATATATTTGTCCATGGTTTTCAGTCCTCGTGTTCATTAGAATAACTTGAGATTTTGATGAAATACCACACCCTGGGCCCCAGTGCTACAGATTCTGCATCAGCTGGGCCGGATGAGACTCTGGTATTGAGCTGTTGGGAGACTCCCCAGGGAGGTCTAACAGACAAGCAGTGCCCAGAGAACGCCTTTCAGTCTCGTGTGTGGCTCCCCTAACTCTCGCAGCTCGCCAAGGATAGTCCTGGGTAAGATCTATTGACCAGTGTTATAATTATTAGGACCCCTCGCACTCTCAGAGTATCTGGATTTGGACATAAACTGTGCAGTCTTCTGCCTTCATCATCGCCAGAGTCACTGCCTGCCTGCATCCCAAGTCTTCCACCTTCTGCACTCAGCCCAGGACCTACCCTAGCTACTCTGAATGCTTTTCAAGACACCAGATGGGAATCCCCCAAACAGAGGATCTAGCTTTTCTTCTAGCTGGCTGGAGTAAGCCCTGACAAGGAGAGGCAGCGTAGCATTCTAATAAGGCTGCTCTCCTCCAATGAAACACACAGCTCTGGCTTCCACACTTGCTGAGACTCAGTTACACCCGTGTCTAGTGTCACTTGGGTGATGACAGAGGATCTGGTAAGACCAGGGGCAAGCCCTTCATAGGACATGAGGTTCTTAAGACAAAGGGCACAGAGGCCTCTAACAATCCCAGAGGAGCAGAGAGATGTCAGTCTCTTCCTTTGGTCACCCCTTGAGACAGCCCAGGGGAGCCTTCACTCTGCTGTTTCTTTGTGAGAAGAGCTACACTTACCTGGCATCCTCGACTCCTTCCTTCACTGCCATCTGGCTGCCTCATCACCACAGACCCGAGTATCCCAACGCAGGCCTGTACCTCTAATACTCATTCACCTCCCCTAATCCCACAACCCCACCCCCACCCCTCATCCGCATGGAAAAGTCATGTTTAGGGTACCTGCAGTGGGTGGAGTAAGGGCCCTAAGACACAACTAACACCCACCCTCTGTGACTGTAACTGGGTGTAGGAAAGAGTCTTGGCCGATATGATGAGGGATGTTGGGAATGAGCCCATTCTGAATCATCTGGTGGACTCCAAACCAACCAGGATTTGTCTTGAGTGACAGAGGGGAGCACACAGGAGGAGGCACTTAGGTGGAGACAGAGACCAAGGAGGTAGGGAAGCAGCCATAGGCTGTGAAGGATGGGCAGGAATTGCTGGAAGCCACCAGAATGTGGAGGAGGAGAGAAGAGGCACTCAGAGAACACGGCTTGCAAGCTTGATGGTGGCAAAACTGTTGTTTTCTACCTCCGAGCCAGGGGTAATCTGTTAGAACATTTCTTGGCGATTAATACAATGACTTAGCAGGTTAAAAAAAAGTGTTCTAATGCTGTCTACTCTAAAGCATTGGCAAGAACACACACACACACACACACACACACACACACACACACACACACACACAGGTCTTTGTTAATTCATATCTTTGGCTTAACCTTTCCCCCAAGGACTATGCGAACATTTTTTCCAGGAAGAAATAGGCTGGGTTGGATAATTTATTAAGAACTCACCCAAAAACTAGGAGTGGGGAAACAGGCAGGCTAAGCCAGCATAGTGATGGCTGACATACAGGATAACAGCTTCTGTGGATTCTGCCCTCACCTTCCCTGTCAAAAGCCTGGGGAAAGCCAGGCTCCTTTGATTTATGGGCTGGAAATAGAATCCACTGTGAAGGCCAGAACAACAAAACCCGTGAAGAGCCAAGAGACCAAGCTCCCGAGGAAGAGCCCAAGAGCTGGCCTCCAGTCTAGAGGATGCTGGAAGGGAGGAAAGATGGATGTTTTGAAGCACAAGGAAAGACTTTGGGTCACATGCAACGAAATCACTGGGCACCAAATACCGCTGGGAAAGCTTGCTTCAGGGTGAACATGAGAAAAGTGATCTCTTCGTAGTTATCTGACTCATACAGACACCCAAACTGTGGGGAGCCGTCAGGGCCTTGCCCCATGTTCTGCAAGTCCGAGTAGGCGCATATGCCTGTGGCCAGCAGGGTGGGCTCCGACCAGGCCGCGGGGTCCAGTGGCTTCTGGTTGAGGTACACACCCAGGTTGGTTCTCTTCTGGGAGTCCGTAGGGTGGGTATAGAGCAGCCACACATCTAAGGCATCTGCCGCTGAGGTGGGGTTGGGAAAGGCAGTCACACTTCCGTGGCAGCCTTTGGGAGGCTCTACAAGCTTACTCACTACCTGATTGTCCTGGAAATCTAGGCCACCGTTAAGACTTTGTGCCTGGACCCTGGCTCCCAGGTGGCTCCTAGCATTGAGATAGACCACCCTCTGAGCTCCAGCGCCAACCTCGGCCACCTGGCACTCCAGTGTGTTCTGGGACACAAAGTGGCCCAGCTCCCAAGTGTTCCCATGGTCGTGGCTGAGGAAGCAGAAGGCAAAGGGGGCAGGTGTCTGGCTAGGATGTAGTTTCCGGTAGGCATAAGCAGGCACCAGCAGGCTCCCCGCTGAGTTTCGCAGCTGCAGACAGTGCCCAGGCCCCACACCGAACGTAGCCCAGTCCCGGTGAGTGTTGCCAATGGTGGTATCTGTAAGATCCCGGACAGGGCTCCAGGTCCTCCCATGGTCAGTGCTGGTGATGTGGCATAGCCGTGTGACATTAACCCTGGTCTGGATCTGGTGGTGTTCTGATACATGCCCAGGGATGGCGATGAAGAACAGGAAGAGGGTCCTTGTCTGCTTGTCATACAAGGGACACGGGTTCATGGAGCGGTGGCCCTCCAGCCGGGCTTGGGTCACCACCTCCTCAGCTTGCCACTGAATGTGAGGGGAGGGGAGAAAGAGAGACACAAACTTGAAATTACTTGTGACAATGACAGCAGCTCCCCTGGGGGTCCCTGGGGCAGGTGTCTCTTAGAGATGGAATCAAAGGCCACGAAGGGACTGCTTCACCTACCAGTTACCACCCAGAGCAGTTGGGGCCAGGTTCCTCTTCCTCCCACCCTCCTTCCCTCCCCACTTTCCTTCCTGAAGGCTCTCTTACTTTGCTTACCACCAACATATATTTGCAGGGCACCCATGATGTGTCAGCCCCCCAGGACACAAAAGTGGCTCAGGAGCCAGCAGACGGTTCAGCAAGTTAAGGTATGCACTACCAAGCCTGATGCTGAACTCAATCTCCAGCACCAACGTGATAGGACGAGAGAGCTGACTTACTCAAGGGCATGCACATACAGAAAAATGAGCGAGTAAATGTGATGTTTTTTCTTTTTAAAAAAATTGTAAGTAACGATGGTAGGAACCACTCCTAACTCCATCCTTTCTCTTCCCGGGTGGTTCAGCATTCTTAAAGGCAAAGGCTTAGGATGGACCACATCGGGCTGGTTGATCCACAACAGAAGATGAGGGTCGTCCCTGCATCACCTGTTTATGATACTTCACCAGTGAACTCAGAGATATTGAAGATCGGCATTGAGCCTCCCTGCGGCCAATGTGTCACGCATGCTACAGCCACACTGTCTCTCCTTATTCCACACCAGGTGCCCCAGTACAGTACTCCACGCACAGACACCATGTCTAAAGACGGATGGCCCCTATGTTGCCTGATTCCCCAATGCTGAAGGAGAAGTGTAGCTAGCTCCATTAGCTCTATTTCATACTTTGAGAACAAGAGGCCTAAATCAGGTAGCCAAGTTGCCTAAGACCATCCCTGGGATAAGGAACGGACCCAGGCCTTGAACTCAGCCCCATCTGCTTCAAGTGCCGTGACTGTGCATAACAATTAGGCACCAATCAAAAGAAACTTTGCTGCCATACTCTGGACAGCTACCATGGAGTTGTGAGAAGAGTAAGGTTACCAGTGCACACAATCATCCAACCCCCCGCCCCCAGGTTAATTGCCCTCAGAGGGTACCACTCCTGTTAAATGACAATGAACTGCTCCTCCCATGGGCTTTCATGAATGCTGGGAAACCCAGCCAGGCATGCGATGAAGCATGTGGTCAGCCAATGCTCCTTGAACCCCAGTGAGATCTGGGTTGGGCACTGGAGCTTCTTGGCCGTCCTGTCCCTGGATGGGTTTCCAGGTCCCTCCCAGGCTTCCTAGATCCCATCTGCATCTCAGACACCAAGGAATGGGCTTGCCCTTGTGTTCTTTGAGATCTATGACTGGTTCCACAGCACCCAGCACCCACGTGGGTGTGCGCTGAGACACCCCGGCTGGAGTCACTGCAGCTGGGTCCTGCCTTACCTGGACTTGACGGGTGGCCATCTTGTAGCTTCCTCTTCGTAGGACGATCGAATCTGCATGCTCATCCGTCTTGGTCAGGCGCTTTTCCGCAAAGGCCAGCAGGGTCTTCTGCTTCGACAGGTAGAGCAGAGCCGGGATTCGGTAAGCAAAGACTCCTGTCTGGAACAGTGCCTCCTTCTGCAGGACAGGGCAGGTCGCCATGGGCCTGAGATCTGGGCAGGGAGAGAAGATTCATTGTCTGCTGTCATACCTGTGCCAAACAGGTGACACCCATCTGACCGGCAAGCCAGGTCCTGTCTGGTGGCCTGTCCTACAAAAGGTCCTGTCTCCTTTCTCATATCCCAAGGCCCCATTTGCTGGAGTCCTGGCAGGACTCCATCTAGGAACAGAAAAGTGTGTTTTGTATTAGGTTCCTGCCATAAGTCACCCGTTCCCCTCACAACAGATTTGCGACAACCTTCTGCTGCTGAGCCTGGTAGAGTAGAAGAGCCTGCTGCGTGTCGCTCTGCAGCTGCCCGGATGCCAGGGGATGACACACGGGAGCCTTTTATAACTCCAGAGCCCTAGAAAGCTGTTCCAGAGAAGAAGAAAACGCCTCCGTTCCCCAGGCTCGGCTCCCACAGCTGCCTGCGGCTGATACACCCGCTGCCCCCGCTGCGTGGGTGCCACCCTGAGGCAGGCAGGGGGTGGCTGTGGATCTGGAGAGAGCGGGGCTGGGTGGAGCCCTAGAGGCGTAAGAAAAATGAACGGCAGTAATGAGGCGCATTTGCTGAAAAGAATCGAGAAGTCGGGGGATGACTTGGTGGCTATGGTTGACGAGGCGCTGACAGCCAACTTTTTAGCTGGAATAGCCACCATTGGCTGAGAGAGCCAGAAGCCAAGATCATCCCCAACAAGGGCTGCATCTGATGACCTACCTACCTACCCAGAACCTAACAGACGTTAAGATAAGATACAGCTGGGCGGCGGTGGCGCACGCCTTAGTCCCAGCAGTCAGGAGGCAGAGGCAAGCGGATCTCTTGGGAGTTCGAGGCCAGCCTGGTCTACAGAGTTCCAGGACAGGTTCCAAAGCTACAGCAAAATCCTGTCTCGGAAAACAAAAAACAAAACAAAACACAACACAAAACAGCGAAGATAAAAAGCCAAGTGGTGGTGGCACACACCTTTACTCCCAGAACACGGGAGGCAAAGACAGGTGGCACTCTGTGAGTTCAAGGCCAGCCTGGTCTGCAGACAGGAAAGCAAGGGCTACATAGAAAAACCTTGTCTCAAAAAACTGAAAAAAGAAAAAAAAAATAAGACATAAGAATGTAAGAAACATAAGAATTCCTTGTTCCAGCTTGGAGTGAAACCCTCGGGGCCTGTTGAGCCCACTCTAAGACTGAACCTCAGAATCCCACTCTTTCCCACTAGTTAGTTGCCTTTCCTCCCTACTAAACGTAACTGTGGTGGGATATTTGAGCAAACTGTAAAGATGTTGCTGTTTTGCCTTGCCTGCCTAAGGCACCTGATTGCTTTAATAAAGAGCTGAACAGCCAATAGTTAGGCAGGAGAGGTTAGGTGGGACTTCCAGGCAGAGAGAGGAACTCGGGATGAATCTAGGCTTGGAGAGGGACTCCAGGGGGACATGAAGGGAAGTGGACATACAGAATGGAGGAAGAGTCAGAAGCCATGTGACAGAACATAGGTTAGCAGAAACATGTTAATTTAAGTTGTAAAGGCTCGATGGGAATAAGCCTAAGCTAAAGGTCAAGCTCTCATAATTAATGCTAATTCTCCCTGTCATTATTTGAGGGATGGAGGCTCAAAAAAAAATCCAACAAGAAAGCTTGTTACAGGTAATGAATTCAGAAACCTCAGTCAAATTGCTGCCAAGGGAGCCACCAGCTTCCTATGAAGTCTTACCCATGCCTAGACCTCTGGGGAGGGGAAATGAAAGCCTGGGGTCAGCAAGCAGGAGGCAGGACTTTCTGACATTTTTCAAACATGTAATACATTATTCAATACAACTTGCCTTTAACCTTTTTTGAGAGGTGTTCAAGTCACAATGAATGTTACTGGAACACTGAGACAGAATGACGTTTAGAAGGGCTAGCTAAGGAAAAAAAATGTTTAATGGTTGGAGACAGATTTTTGCTTTGAAGTGGAGACTTGAAGCTAAGTTGGGTGGCTTATGCCCACATGAGAAGCTGAGGCAGGAAGAGTGTTTGGAATTCAAGTCCAGTCTGGGTTAGACCGAGACAATTAAAAAAAGAAAATAAAACAAAAAAACTAAACAAAACAAAATCTAGGCCTGCCAACTGCCATCTTGCTCATAAAACTTAATAGGAAAGAGCTGAATACAATTAAAATATAAAAAAATGAGAAGAATGATGAAGTTTCAGTGTCTTAGGAACTCAATCAAGGGCTGAAAAGCTGGTCCCAAAGAAAATTCTTCAGCAGCCATATAATCAGATTTAAATGTTGGTTTTAGATGTATCCAGGGCTGAAACTTTCTCCATTTTGGTGAGTGGCCTTTGGTATGTAATGTGGGAAGGGAGCCAAGGACATTCACAAAGAAACTTGAGACGGGAAAGGGAATCGGAGGGGTCGCCAGGAAGAACTAGAAAGGAGCCTGGGTTAGCCCTTGGGTCCCAAGAAGGGAATGTGATTTCAGAGCACCAGCAGGGGTTGAGAGTAAACCAGAGGAGGGACCATAAGGCTTAGCAGAGTGAGGTGACAAGAGCTCATGGTTTAGAGAGAGAAGATGGGTCTGGGAGAGGGCTGAAGGCCTCTGGCTAGAACAAGGAACTGCATATCCTGGATGGTCCACCCCGCAGAGAAGGGACTCTTTCCATTTCCAAAAGCAATGCTTAGTGTCGTAGAAAACGCAATTCAGCTTCTCAAAGGACCATCCGAAGGCTGCGCAGACATTGCCACTACCCAATTCCAGCTGTTTTCACTGCCCAGCAAGTCCTGTCACTGGGCAGTCATTCTGCTCTATCCCAGCCCAGCCTCAGGAAACCATCAATCTACTCCCTCTCTCTGGCTTTGCCTGTTGTGTGCATCGTGTACAAGTACAGTCGTCCAGTATACGGCTTCTTTCTCTTAGCATACTGTTCCTAAGTTCATTCATGCTACAGCATGCGTCAGTACTTCATTATTTATTTATTCATTGTTTTTAAATATGTTGTCCAGACTGGCCTGGAACTCAATATGGAGTCAAAGGTGACTTTAAACTCCTGATCCTCCTGCCTCCACCGCCCAAGGACTAGGATTGCAGACGTGTTCAGCTACATCTTGAAGAGTCCAGGAATAGAATATAGAAATGAAGGGTCTGGTCCAGGAATACAGAAATATAAAATTGTAAGCCCAAACACATTTTAGAAAAACAATAAAGCTGGCAATCACTGCTAACCTTTAACAAACACTTTGCCTTAAGAGCAGACATCCTGGCAGCCACTGTGTACAGAGGTAAACTTTTTGTTTTGTTTTTGTTTTTTGTTTTTTCAAGACAAGATTTCTCTGTAGGTTTGGAGCCTGTCCTGGAAACCAGCTCTTGTAGACCAGGCTGGAATTGAACTCACAGAGATCCGCCTGCCTCTGCCTTCCAAGTGCTGGGATTAAAGGCATGTACTGCGGACAAAGGTTAGCATCTAACTGTTGCCTCTCTGGGACCCTCTGCTTGTATTCCCATAATTTTTACCTGTCCCCCTATGTGCTGCTCTCTGTCTTGCATCCTTACAGGAACACTGAGAAGGAGCTATCAGTCACAGGCTTTCTCAAACATCCTAGCTTAACGTTCTATAACCAAAAGTTGTAAAACTTAAAATGTAATGTGGCTTTAAGACTGACCTCAAGGTTGTAAAAGTTCTTTGACCCTCACCTGGAGCTTGGTTTTACTATAAGAGGAGGCCCCAAACCAGCCTCCACTGCCACAGCTTTAGAAACCTGATCTCTGGTTGTGCTCACAACTATAGCTGAGAAGCTTTGTGTGCCCCGTGGTTGATTTTTTTTTCCTCCTTCTTTTTCTGAATAAAGCTTGCTTCTAGTTTAATAGACTTTGGTGATCTGTTACCCATCATTGTGTAACCCTGGGCCCAACAATCTGGTTTATGCAGCACTTCACAGTACTGAAGATCAAACACAAGGTCTCGGCATTCTGGGCGAGCCCTCTACTCCTGAGTTACTTTTGAATCTCTTCCACATTAACTTCTTACCACTTCCATCTTTTCCCTGGGTGTGAAAGGAGTCCCAATCCCCCCCCCCCACACACACACACTGTCATTGAGTCTTTTCAATTCTAGCCATCTTGTGGCTGTGCAGGGATAGCCCAGTGTAGTTTGGGTTGTGTTCCATGGTAATTAATGATGTTGAGCATCTTTGCACAGCCTTACTGGTCACAAGAGTTAGATTTTAGCCTAGAGGCAAGAGGAAGGTTCTGGTATATTTTCGGCGGGTGATGGAGTCAACTTTAGGGAAGCTCCTTTCTCAGTCTCAGGGAGAGAGAGCAGATGAGGCTGCTACAATTCTCCATGTGAGACAGGATAGAGATCCGGCTGAAACAGATAACAGTGACCACAGTGGTGGTGGTGATGTCTCCTAGAGACTGAGGCAGCAGAAGCAATATGATCAAGGGTATGTGCTGGTTAGTTTTCGTCAACTTGACACAAACTGAAGTCCCCTGGCAACTGAGGAATTGCCTCTATATATTGGCCTGTGGGTGTGTCTTTGGGGACATTTTCTTGCTCAGTGTTCAATGTGGGGGGCCCTCATCTCTCTATAGGTACCACTCCTGGGCATACGGCCTGAGTTGTATAAGAAGTCAGGCTGAGCCAGACATGGAAGTAAGCCAAGAAGTAGCCAGTGTTCCTCCATGGCCTTGAGTTCCTCCTTTAGCTTCTCTCTGCGAGAGTCTAATGAGAATGTGTAAGCTGAATAAACTCTTTTCTCCCTGGGCTCCCTATGTGCTTATCAGAAAAACAGTAAGCAAATCAGGTCAGGCCTGGTCACTGCTTATATAGGAAGCTAGGTAGGTCCTGGCTTACACATGTCCATGGCTGTTTTCTAGATCCCTCCTTTAGTGTCTAGTCTCCTTAAGACTGGCAACAAATACAGTCATTCCCATCTCAGGATCATGTGGTGTTCTGGGAACCTGGGATGGACCAGAAATAAAATAGGCCAAGAAGCCTGTTCTGATGAAGTGAGTATTTGACCAGGGATGAAAAGGTCAATATTACTACCAACATCTACATGGTGCTTGCCAGGGTTAGGGTCTGGCTGGGCATTTGACAGCAACTATTTCATCTATCCCATAGATCCTCTGTCCTCTGCAAGCCCACGATGCCCAGTGACGCTGTAGTGGAGGACATAGAGCAGCAGATACCTGCTCATCGCGGTCCAGCCACAGGACGTTCATCTCTAGGCAGTCATTCCTTGTACATTAGAGACAAGGCTGAGCCCAGGAGTGGGGAAGACTCGGCAAAGGACTGCAAGGTGAGCACGAGGTGTCTTACCCACCCTCCAGCCCAAACTCACACACCCACTAACAATTTCCCAACCCCCACCCGGGTGCTCCTTACCAAAGACCTTGTGTTCTCTAAGTACCCAATATTTCTAGAAATCCTTGTGAACTGCATTTAGAAATTTTGCTACTTACAAATTGAATCTTCCTGGTACCCCCACGTGGTAGACATCAGTACGACGCCACCAATGCTTAAGTAGCCAAGCCGAGTGCAAAGGTACTTTTGAACTCCATCTTCTGCACGTGAGCAAGTGCCTAGGGTCCTCTGGGGTCCCTTGACACAGCTCTACCTCCCGACAGTGGCAGTTGCTTCCAGATGACGCAGTGGGAACAGAACTAAGTCAAGAGTCAAAAACCCAGATTCTGAGACTGGAGAGAGATGACTGAGTCAAAAAAATGTTTGCCTCAGAAACATTGGGACCTGAATTCTAACCTAAGAACCGGTGTAAAAAGTCAAGCCTGACACGGGATGCTTGTAATCCCTGGGAAAGCAGGGGCAGACAGATCCCTGGGACTCCCTGGCCAGCCAGCTTAGCTAAAGAGACCCTGAGGAATGACACCCAATGACTTCCGGTCTCCACACTCACCCAAACTCAGATTCTGACCTTAGCCACCCCCTAAAAGATTATTCACAGTTGGAAAAGTTCCTCTTTCCTCATAGGAAGCAGCAGGCGAAGCTAGGCAGCCACAGAGACCCCATCCATCAGCAGCACATAAGCCTGGATGGGACCTGAACAGGGAGGGTCTCAGTATAAGCCAAGTCTCACAGTAGATCAGCAATGAGAAACTGACACCATCACGTTTGAGGCAAGAAACTGCCAGTAGATCAGAGAGGACTGTATAACAGAGATTTCGTTTGGGCCTCCCTAAGGCTACCCAGGGCTGACTGCACTGCTGTGGTCACCAAGCTCACAGCGTCTTCCGTGAGGAAGTTCACTTCCCCCACATACCCAAGGAAGCAGGCCTCGGAGCTCTGTCGCAGCTGTGAGGAAACTGAAAAGTGGGTCAGGAAGGTGGTAGGTGGCTCCCCACAAGTACACAGCCTCAGGTGGTGGAGGCATGTGGCTCTGAGCCTGGATCTGCCAGATTCCACAACCCACACACCCCGAAGACATTCACCCAGGGGTCTCGCTGCCTCCTCTTCCATTCCCGCTGGGGCACAGCCCGACTCAAATCTTGCAAAGCCAGGGATCTCATTGCTGGTTCACTTGTTCTCTTCTCTTCAAGGAGATGCAGGATAATTTGCAAAGTGGCACCTTCTAAATACCAGGAAACACAAGATACCAGGCCCTGGCCCTACCTCCCGGGACCCCAAAGAACAGTCAAACGTCATAATTACGTCAGTAATTATGGCGAAGGATGACAATGTCTGTGCTGTTATCCACAGAAAAGCTAATTGTTTCGTGAAACTGAGCCAGGTTGTGAGTTTTGAGTCGTTCTGAGTTATTGCCTGTTGGCTGCAGCCCTGGAATGGGGCCTTTTCTCCAAGGGATAGCAGTCGTCTACCCCAGGCAAGGGATAGCACCAGGAAGGCAGTCTTGGGCAGCGTCATCAGCTCAAAGTGTAGTCAGCCTCTCCTCCAAGAACACCCATCTCCAACCAGTTCAACAACTCCACCTGGATCCATTCTAAACTAAAAGGGGCCTTGAATCACATGGAATGGACACACCGAGAGCTCTCTTGAGAAGTTTAGAGCGACAGCCAGCCATTCAAGAGTGGAATCAGCTGCTCAGTTGCTGATCCGAGTCCCCTTCCCCAACCTGTCCCCAACCTACATGCCCTCTAGGTACCCAAGAACCCATGAAGGTGTGTGTTCCACCAGCATGGGCTGAGACACTGTGAAACCATCATGCTTGTTAAACCGACCTTACTGGAAGCTTTCCCACGCACCACATCACCTCAGATGAGGCCCTGGCAGCAAGAACTCTTGTTTATGTCAACAGAGGGACATATGGGTCAATTTAGAGATAAGTCATATCATACCTCCAGGAGCGTGTGCCAAGCAGGATCCAGGGAGGTCTGGGCTTGTAAACACAGAGAGAGGCAGTAGGAATCTGGTTTCTAGAAGGTCACCGTGGCTCCTGTAGTTCCCTGGCCTTAACTCCAGTCTCAGTCCCTCTGTCCGTCCATGCCTATATACAGCTAAAGGAGTCCTCCTGTGTGCCTCCCACTCATCTGACAAGGCACACTTCGGGGACTATGTCAGCGTCCAGGCCCAGCCCTGGCCTAATTAGGATGCTGCTGCCTTTCATTAGTCTGGAACAAGTCTGCCAGCTACCAACCCCGTCACTCCTGAATCAGAGATGACCTCGGGCGGCGTGAGTCAAGTTGTCTCTTACAAATGGTTACACTGAGCAACACGCGCTCAGTGGGAGCAGACATCCTGGGGTTTGGGAAAATGTAATGTTCCTGGGGAGGAGGAGGTTGGAGCCACGTAGAACTTGGCTACCATTCTGGCTCAACTGTGATAGCCAAGTGACCCCTTGGAACCTCGGGTTCTCTGAAAAATAAAAAAAAAAACCTCATGTCAATCCTAAACTACACGAAAGCGCACAGAATCAGAACGGAGCCCACTTTGCGAAACCCTGACCGTAAAGCTGCATCAGCCAGACGACTCTGACACAGGGGACTCATGCATTTTCTTAGTCTACTTTTTTATTTCTGTGGCACACATCAAGAGCAAAACCATCTGTACTTTATTCCATCACTAAAGGAAGTCAGGACAGAAACTCAAGGCAGGAAGCCGAACCTTGGAGCATTGGTGACTCTTGGCTTACTCCTCCTGGCTTGTTCACTTTGCTTTCTTATACTTTCGAGAACCACCTGCCCAGGGATCGTACCACCCACAGTGGGCAGGGCCCACCCACATTAATCATTAATCAAGAAAATGCCCCAGAGGCTTAGCCAAGGCCAATCTGAGGAAACATTTGTTCAACTGAGGTTCTTCTCAGATGATTCTAGCTTGTGTCAAGTTGACAAAAAATAATAATAATAATAAAATTCAAAGCCCAGTCAGGACACATGTATATCTGATAGCAGTTAGGAAAGACTCTTTCGGAACACAGAGGCCAACTCAAGTTCACACAGAAAATATTGCAAGGGCAACTATCCTATCCATCCCAAGACGGAGGCTACCTTTCTTACTAATCCTTGTGGCCAAGAATGACTTCAAAACAACTTACAGAATCCTCATTTTGCCTCTGAAAGTTTCCCTATTTCCCTCCAAAAACACCCACACATGTTCTCATGGCCATTTTAAATTTCCAAATATATCTCATTTCCCTCCCCAGTTTGTTCAACAGCTACTTACAGAGAGCAAAGGTCTCCAATGCCTTGTTTGCTCTAAGGTACTTTCTGACATACCATTGGTGTCTCCATGATGGGCAGATGGCTGTCATCCTTGAAGATTGGACCAGATAACCCATCTGACCTTTAACCTAGCATTCAGTAGGTTACAGACCCAGTAGATATCAGTCCCTGGCGATAAACTCTTGTCTTCTGAGCCCACTATGTGCAAGGCTCCGTGGCCCTTCCCAGAGGGATAAGTCACTTGGGGCACACAGCCAAAAGCATGTACCACCTTGTTCCAGTCCGTTGCAGGACATGGATGGGCTGAACACAGGACATGTCCAAAGGTAGCTAAAGTCAAGTTGGTTTCAAATCATATTTTTTTTGTTTTAGTCTTGACAAAAGAGGGAGAAAGGGGGAAGTAGAAAAGACAAGATCTCCTGAGTAAAATGGGAGTATGGGAACCTTGAGAGAAGGTTGAAGGGAGGGGAGAGGCAGGGAGGGGAACAAAAAAAATGTAGAGCTCAATAAAAATCAATTTAAAAAAAGACGGAGGAAGGATTCCCTTTTATTTTCCTTCTTATATCAAAGTCTTTTCATGATATCTTCCCATTGGCTGCTCAGGTCTAGAATGTTCCCTGGCTCAGAGCTAAGCTTATATTCAGTTCCTTTACTTCTTGGGAGGTTTACCTCACTTGCCCGTCACCCCGGTCACAATGGTCCACCTCTATAGCCTCTTCTGGGTCCTCATGGGTCCTTCTGGTCTTAGCCTCTCTCGCACGAGTTCTAGAAGATAGTCATCAATGTGGACTTGGGATTTCTCCGTGGAAGCCCCACTGACCCAGTCAATTCCTGTGAAGAGACACCATGACCAAGGCAACTCTTATAATAGAAAGCGTTTAATTGAGGCTTGCTAATATTTTCATAGGTTTAGTCCATTATCGTCACGGTGGGGAGTGTGGTACTGAAGAAGTCCCTAAGAGTTCTATATACATGTCCACAGGCATCAGGAAAAGAGCGAGCCATTGGGCCTGGCTTGAGCTTTTGAAACCTCAAAGTCCACCCACAGTGACGCAGTTCCTCCAACAAGGCAGCACCTCCTAATCCCTCTCAAGGAGTACCACTCCCTGACGATCAAGTATTCAAGTCTATGAGCCTATGGGGACCATTCTCATTCAGACCACCAGCTCCACCCAAAGGCTAGACCACACAAAAGGCCCCAATAAACTTTTTTCTTTGACCTACAGGCACAGGTCAGGTAATGTCCTTGAAGTGAATGCTTTGACCAAGTATTTTCCCACAAGATAACTGGTGGGTCCCCGAAGAGTTGTTTCAGAGAGCAGTAAGTACAGGAGACGAAGGAAATGGCCCAACATGGTGGCTCACATAATCTTAGCACTTGGGAGGCTCAGGCAAGAGTGTCCCCACAAGAGCCCAGCCTGGTTACAAATGATGAGTTCTGGGCGAGTCCTAGGTTACACAATGAGATTCTGCCTCAGAAAAGCCACAGAAAAGAGAGATAAACAGTTAAAGTTCTGTTTAAATGCTATAGAATGCAAGAGTAAGTAGGGTACAAGATGGCAAATAAGGCCCCACTTTGGTAAGTTTACTAAACGCTCAAAACTCTGCTAAAAGATGAAACCAAATAAACCATGCATTGGTGCATCCCCCAAACTTAGCACAGTGCCACAAATGGAACACAGTAAATATCTTTTTCATGTAGAATTATTATTTTTTATTTTAACGTTTATTTACTTCTCTGTTTTTCAAGAGAGAGTCTCACCTGTAGCTCAGGCTGCTTGGAGCTTGCTAGGTATCCAGGTCGGCCTCCAGCTAATACTTCTCCTCCTTTAGCTTCCTAATTTCTGCGATTATAGGCATGCACTGCCACACCCAGGTTTACAATTAGCAAATAAACGCCCCTGGCGATTCGTCTTACCTGATGTTAAACAGATGACGCTTGCTTACTTTCTTGTACTCCTCCACGTACAGACCAATTCCATCGTGGAACGGAAGAAGAAAGGCAAGGCATGCAGAGGGACGAGAATAATACATGAAAGAAGCCAGCTGGCATGAAAGACTGGAGGGCTTTCCCTACCCAAGCCACGTGTGACAAACACAGCATGCTGAGATATGCCTATGGTATGCAAAAACGGTGGGAGCTGTACACATACCTACACAGGCTCACAAGACTCCTGACCCCACTCACTGGACAGCTCCCATTCTCAGAAACTCCTCTTTGTTAATCAACTATTTTTATCACCCACCACACGTCGTTGGTACAGTTCCTTACCCTGGGGCATGAGAACCTGGAAACTTCGGTGGGTACCCTCCTGACATTCTTCTGCACCTTTGACAACTGGCACAGACAGGAGGTAGAGTCTGGGCACTCCCTTCACTTTCTAGGGGCAAGCTCCATGAGAGACTGCTAGTGCGGAGGCGTCTCTCCTTTTCCCTCCTGCCTCTCCTTCCCTCAGCTTCGGAGTGAGTGCTCCTAAAACTTTACTCCTGCCCTAGGGACCTCACCTAAGCTTGTTCAGAGGCAAACAAGCGTCTGCGTGAGCTGGCAGCAGTCAGGCCTTCAGAACTTTAGACTGAAAGGCACCTGCCTGGGAGCTGAGGCTGATTCACCTTTAAGCTGTGGCAGGATCCATAGCAACCCAGCGCTGAGTCTGGGAGATGAAGGGGTTCTTGTGCTGAACGCCACAGCATAAACAGAGGCTCACGCTCACACAAACACCTAAGCGGCCACAGGTGGAGACCAGCAAAGACAGGGGTATCCTCGCGGCTGCTTGGGGTCCACGCACTACACCCCAGACTTTCTTGCTTTCCTGACATTCACCCCTACAATCCTGTCGTCTCTTCTTCCAAAATAATTTCTTCCTTCCTTTCACCTTCCCAGCTGCCCCGGGAAGCATGGCTGGGAAGACAGACTCAGACAGATGCAGTTCTAAGCTTGGGCATTGGCAGCACAAATGCTGACTTTGCTGTCCACGGGGTCCTATTGCCCACCACCTCTGTAGGGTGCCAGGGCCAAGCCGTTCCTAATTTACTAAGCTGCCTGCTCTCTATAGCTGTGATATATTCGCTTCTGCTACATCCTACCTTAATTCCTCTCAGGTCCTCTCTGTGCATTTACTGTGGGCAGTTCTGTCCCTGGGAGCATGGAGATAATTCCCCAGGTAATAAAACCGGTCCTTTGAGCTTGTAATCCAAATGAGGGAGACAGGGCCTGCTTGTTCTCACTTTTAGCCTGAATGGGGATTTAAAACAGAAGACATCAAAGCCGACTAGCCACATAAGCCAGCTCCTTCTCTGAGCCTAGTTGCTCAATAACTTGGGACTATTCTTAGAGCTCTTAAGGAGACAGACCTTATTCTATGGAGGTAAGAGAAATAGCCTCTGGCATGCTCATAGCAGGGGCCTGGTCCTAGGAGAAGGACAACACAGGCAACCGATTTAAACCCCAGGCAAGGGAACTGCAGAAGAGACATTCAAAGCAGCAGTTCCAAGTCTTCCAGGACTGCTCGGACTGGCCAGTGACTCAGGTCGGCTGGGAAGCAGAGTTCCAAGCCATAGATCTTGGGGATCAGGGCAGAGGAGAGGGAGCTCCTGGTACTTCTTTCCTCACGTCGTGTCCCTTGATCTACATGCTACCATGCAGTCTCAAGAACTGGAATAAGAGTTTTGTCAATAGCTGTAAATCGTAAACAGATGGGCATAGCAGGGACCCGTAACTGGTCCAAGTGCTGAGACCTGGGGACAGCTGAGTACTTAACCCTAAATGGGACATCCATGTCACCCTCTCCAGGGTCCAAGGAACATTGTGGAAGGGGAGGTGGAAGGACTGTAAGAATCAAACATTGGGAAGGGAGGGAGAGAGGGTAAGGAAGGGAGGGAGGAAGGGAGAGCAAGCAAGAAGGCTCAAGGGGAGGAGAGTGACTAGCTGGGAGAAAGTAGAGGAGGTAGGAGAAGTGGGGTGGGGCTGTATGGAATGACATCACATTATATACAAATATGATATTGCAAATGTTTTAAAAATAAATTAGAACCTAGAGATGGCTCAGTACTTAGGGCTCGATTTCCAGTCCCCATATGGAGTTGCTTACAACTGCCTGTAACTCTAGTTCCAGGGACCCAGTGTGGTCTCTGGGCTCAGAGGGTTTGTGCGTTCGTGTGCACAAACCCATCCACAAACCTTGTGTTTTAGTCCTGCAAAAATCTGTGACTTCTAGAGTGCACAACAACTTCAAATTAAGCTCCTTGTGATGAAGGGATTCAGCCAGCTTCTGCCACAGGGAATCTAAAGCCTCCTCATCTCCAACCAATATGTAAAACAGGAAGAGAAGCTTGCGGTCCCTCCTAGACAGGGATTCTGTCTCTTATCAGCATTGAAGATGGACAGAAGATTGATTGACTGTTACCGGTCTGCTTCCCCAAAAGGTTTCTGGGATCACAGCTCTCAGTGAGGAGTGGTGGCCATAGGATAGGATGGGGAGAGGGCAACACCAAGAATAACATGAAGAAGGCAATTGGCAGAAAGTCTGGGGAACCTTGCCTCCCGGAGCCTCAGATCACCCACAGAGCACGCACCAAAGAGTATACAATGTACAAAAGCGAGGGAAGGTGGGTGGTCTGGAGAGGACCTGTCAAGGGTTGTGAGACTCCTTGCCTAGTGCTTCTGGGCTATTTCTCAGCACCTGAGCTTGCTCCCAATCTCAGGAGTGTCTTTCTCTTTCTTAACAAACGGTTTCTATTTCCACTACTTTACTGTGTTTCCCTGGTATGGTGCCGCATCCTGGCATGCAAGAACCTGAAAACTTCAGCGTACCTTCCCAACTCTGACCCATGCCTTTAACAATAGCCGTGCGTGATTTAACGAGAGTACTGAAACGTGGCTTGAGAGGCTGGGGAGATGACTCAGCGGGCACAGCAAGCGAGATCCCCAGAGCTCACACAGCAATCTGTGGATGCTGGCACGCACACTAGTAATCTCAAGAGACAGAGACAAGGAGGGGTCTCTGGTCAGCCAGTCTAGCCTAAACAGTAAGCTCCAAGAGAACGAGAGACCCCCATCTTAAAATATGGCTGACAGTAATATGGTGAGCCACCCCTTTAAATACGGTGGCTCACCTCTTTAATCCCAGAACTCAGGAGACAGAGGCAGGAGGTTCTCTGTGAGTTCAAATCCAGCCTGATCTATATGGCAAGTGTTGGACAGCCAGGACTATATAAATACATAGAGAGACATTGTCTCAAAAATCAATGATAATATTAGTAATAATAAGCTAAAAGTAAAAAACGGAAGGTGGATAGTATGTAAGTAACAATATGGGAGGTTGTCCTCTGACCGCCAAATGCATGCACACATACATACACATGGACATGGGAACACATTTTAAAAATTAAAGCGTGGCATAAGCGTGGTTGCTTGCTGATTCAGTCCTAACTGGATCCACCAAGTGGAAAAAATATCAAACTAATGTGGATATGCTTGAGTCCATGTGCAAGCTTAATTTATATTTTAGGCTCAAAGGAGCAAGAGAGTAAGTGTTTAAGGACATTCGTTGCATTAATCTTATATTCTGCTACACTACTGAAGGTGTTCTTTAAATCTCTGAAGAAAGAAATTGAAGAAGGCACCAGAAAATGGAAAGATCTCCCATGTTCTTGGTAGGTAGAAGTAACACAATAAAAATGGCAATCTTACCAAATGCAATCTACAAATTCAATGTAATACCCATCAAAAGCCCAGCAAAATTCTTTACAAACCTCAAAAGAACAATACTCAACTTCATATGGAACAATAAAAAACCCAGGATAGCCAAAACAATACTGTACAATAAAACAACTTCTAGTGGTATCACAATCCCTGACTTTAAACTCTACTATAGAGATACAGCCTGCTATTGGCATAAAAATAGACAGGAAGATCAGTGAAATCGAATCGAAGACCCAGACATCAATCCATACACCTACGAACACTTGATTTTTGACAAAGAAGCAACAAATATAAAATGGAAAAAAGAAAGCATATTCAACAAATAGTGCTGGCATAACTGGATATCAACATGTAGAAGAATGAAAATAGACCCATATCTATCACCATGCACAAAACTCATGTCCAAATGGACCAAGGACCTCAGTATAAAACCAAACACACCTCATAGAAGAAAAAGAAGGAAGTACACTTGAACGCATTGACACAGGGGACCACATCCTAAATAGAACCCCAGCAGCACAGACACTGAGAGCAACAATTAATAAATGGAACCTCCTGAAACTGAGAAGCTTCTGTAAAGAAAAGAACAAGGTCAACAAGACAAAACGACAGCCTACAGAATGGGAAAAGATCTTCACCAACCCCACTTGGACAGAGGACTGATCGCCATGATATTCAAAGAACTCAAGAAATTGGTCATTAAAAGAACAAATAATCCAATGAAAAATGAGGTGCAGACCTAAACAGAGAACTCTCAACAAACAAATCTAAAATGGTTGAAAGACACTTAAGGAAATGTTCAACATCATTAGGCATCAGAGAAACGTAAACCAATACAACTCTGAGATTCCAAGAATGGCCAAGATCAAAAACATTGAAGACAGCTTATGCTGGACAGGATGTGGGGTAAAGGAAACACTCCTTCATTGCTGGTGGGAGTGCAAACTGGTACAGCTACTTTAGAAATCAGCACAGTGATTTCTCAGAAAATTAGGAAACAACCTTCCTCAAGACCCAGCAACACCACTTTTGTGTATATATCCAAAGGATGCTCAATCGTGCCACAAGAACATATGCTCAGCTATGTTCATAGCAGCATTATTTGTCATAGCCAGAACCTGGAAACAACCTAAATGCCCCTCAACCAAATAATGGATAAAGAAAACATGGTACATTTACACAATGGAGTACTACACAGCGGAAAAAAATTACATCTTGAAATTTGCAGGCAAATGGATAGATCTAGAAAACATAATATTGAGTGAGGTAACCCACATCCAGAAAGACAAATATAATATGTACTCACTCATAAGTGGCTTTTAGACATAAGATAAAGAACAACCAGCCTACAATTCACAACTCCAGAGAACCTAGACAACAAAGAGGACCCTAAGAGAGACATACATAGATCTAATCTACATGAAATGTGGAAAAAGACAAGATCTCCTGAGTAAATTGGGAGCATGGGGATCATGGGAGAGGGTAGAAGAGGAGGGGAGCAGAGAAAATGTATAGCTCAATAAAGACAATAAAAAAAAATTTTAAAAAGTGCATTTATTGGGTGATTCTCCTTTGGGAAGCCCACATCCACATTCTACAGTGTGGATGTGTCTCACTTTCTTCCTCAATGCCTTTCTTTCTCTTAACCCTAGTGCTTCTAATCTGTATAAAGTCCCTTAATATGAACTCCAAATTTGCCTCAACAAAGTGTTGTTGAACACATTCAGCATAGCTATAGCACCACGCTCACAGGGAAGGAAGAGGCAGCAATGTTACAGTGGAGGTGTCAGAATCGCCTGTTAATTATGTGGGAGGAACTGAGCTGGCAAAGGCAGGGACAATAGCAGGGCTGATTGCCATGGCTCACTGAGGAAGAAATGAGAGGACAAGAGGGGTCAGGAGGACCACTTGAGGTGGCCCAGGGGAGAAAAAGGAAATTGTCTTGAGGCAGAGACAGAACATCTCAGCAGAGTGCCTACCATCTCAGCAACAGCTCTGGAAGGGAGGTAGGAAGCGTGTCAAGCCTTATGGGAACAGGACATGGCTGCAGGAATCTGTCTGTTCTTGGAAGGCATTTAGGGTGTTTCCCTTTATCTCTGGTATCCTCCAGCTGCGTTCTGGGTTGGATGTGAATTCAGTTGTGAATTCTGCTGGCCTGGTCTAGGACCCAGCGTGCTTTCAAATTGCGAGCTCTCTCTTTGCCTCTGAAGACTCCTCATTCATTATTTCTCTGAATACTCTCTCTCTCTCTCTCTCCACTTCTGGTGCTCTCCCTCACAATGGCCTGATCAACGGCTCCGATGCTGTTGTGATTTATTCTGTGGCTGATTTTGAACCTTTATCATAGTTTCTGTGTCTTTACCGCCTGATGCTTCCTTCACTCAAGATTTTTCCCAAGCCTATTTCCCAAATCACTAAATCAAAATTTGTCTAAATTAAAAAAAAAATAAAGTGGTCTAGTTCAAATTTCTTTAAGACAGGGTTTTACTGCTTTGCCATAGGAGGTCTGGAACTTGCTATATAGTTCTGGC